TGTGTGTATAGCGAATATGATAACACGCACATTCCAAGTGAGCACCCAGCCATAGCTGTGAGTGAAGCCACTGCACCCAAAACCAGTTATGCATGGGCTTTCATGGTTGTTCCTCTTCTTCTTCGAGAGCACTCACTCCCCATTACCTCCTCTAACATTACGTTGAGAAGGCGGAGACAATCCGTCACCTGGCGTGCATTCAAGAATATAGCCTTCATCATTGGGCCAACCGAAGAAAGGTACTTTTTGTTTCTGCCGCACAGTCCCGCTACAAAAGCACTCCGTTGTGCGTTCCCTTTGTACAAAAAATTAGCCCTCTCTCAAAGGATCCCCAACCCCTTTGTACGCTGGCGTACGCACAGGTACGATCCCTTTGTACAAAAAAATAGCCCTCTCTCATAGGATCTCCAACCCCTTTGTACGCTGGCATAAGCACAGGCTACGATCCCTTTGTACAAAAAATTAGCCCTCTCTCGATCACCAACCCCTTTGTACACTGGGATAAGCACAGGCTACGATCCCTTTGTACAAAAAATTAGCCCTCTCTCATAGGATCTCCAACCCCGTTGTATGATCCCTTTGTACAAAATGAGCCCTCACTCGTACAGGTGCACTCACCTACCTTTTGCCTCCAAATCGTACAGTAGCACCCTATCGTAATTGCCGAGAACAGCCAAGCGCAGCCTGTGCTTATGCCAGCTGACAATCCCCAGTGGCTCTTTGGCAAACTGCATATCCAACTGCGGCACAAAGAACAAAAACAAAAACGAAAACAAAAACAAAAAAAAGAAAGAACACTGCACTCAAATTTGCTTTTCTAAAACATAAAAAAGGTATTAGAAAAAAAAAAAAAAAAAGTACACACAAAACAGCAGAGATCAACAGATTCACCACAGAAACGTTGTTGTCATTTCTACAAAAAATATACATTCATGGGACCTTGTCAAATCTCAAGGAAAACTTTCTTTTTAAAAAATTCACTGCCGCATATATTGTCACAAGAGTATCAGAGCACAAATGCGAACAAAAAGGAAAAAAGAAAGAAAAACAAGAAAAAATGAATTCAGTTTTCTATCTTCTTCCTTATAACTCCCCCTGGGGCAAGGTCCCACTTGCACGGATTAAGAGATTCTGGCCGTTGACCTTTGCTATCGACGGTCAATATCACTTAATTCGTGTAAGTGGGACCTAGCCCCTGTTCAGAACCTCTTGCGTACAAGGCCGCCCACGTGGATGTAGGTTGAGCGGCGGCTGCCCCCACCCCCGTGTGTCATATCGACCCACTTGCACACAGCCAAAAGGCGAAGAGGCAAAGAAAAGAGGAAGGGAACAGCCAAATAAAACAGACAGAACAGGGGGCAACAAAACAGATCCCAGATGACAAGTCCCACATGCAAGCACCGCCCCAACACACACAGGCCAAACGACGGGAC